GTAGTACTGGGCGGTGAACATCACAGTGAGCTTTATTAATATTTTACTTTCTACTTTTACCAGACTACACATACTACTGGTCGTTGAAAATCACAGTGAGCTTTATTAATATTTTACTTTCTACTTTTACCAGACTACATGTAGTAATGGGCAGTGAACATCACAGTGAGCTTTATTAATATTTTACTTTCTACTTTTACCAGACTACACATACTACTGGTCATTGAAAATCACAGTGAGCTTTATTAATATTTCACTTTCTACTTTTACCAGACTACATGTAGTAATGGGCAGTGAACATCACAGTGAGCTTTATTAATGTTTTACTTTCTATGTTTACTAGACTGCACATACTACTGGTCGTTGAAAATCACAGTGAGCTTTATTAATGTTTTACTTTCTACGTTTACTAGACTGCACGTACCACTGGCCGGTGAACATCCCAGAAAGCTCTTTCTTGACTATCCAGCACCTTTCTTTCAAGTTTGTCTCGCTTCTTATCTACTCTAAATAATAAAAATACTTCTTTACTTTTGCTGATTGATTTCAAATAAATAATTGTTTAAACACACATTAATATAAAAAAATCCAATAATGAAATCTGCTGTCAAAAATTTGCTACAAATTCAATCCTGGTTTTGTATTTACAACATGGACTCTTTTTATTTTTTTTTGTCTAAAATTAAATAAAATTTAATCTTAATGCTGTATTTAACTAAGATACTGTGCATGTCTCCATAATATGAATTCTATTCAGAGACATGATCAAATAAGAAATAAAAATGTTGACAAGTAATACATATTTTATGGCACTTTGAACAGACATGTATTTGTGTGTGTTCTATTATTTACTATCAATGTAGTATGATAAAAAATATCTTAGCTTTTAAATACAGTAATTTTTGTTTAAATGCATAGTGCAATGCTATTCAATATTTCTACAAAAAAAGAGTTGACCATAAGTCTACATCTCCCAGTCTAAACTTGTTACCAGTTTAATAATAAGCAATAGTTTTCTATAAAATTGCTCCATTTTTCCACTTTCTTTATCATGATCATCATAGTCCAGTAAGCAAGTTACAATTACTAATATCAAAAATACTTAAATGGTAGAACTTAGCTTCTTAATTCACAATATTAAACTAACATTTACAAAGTTATCTGTAGGGATGTGTATGATTAAAAGCCTCTGATTTTTTTGTGCTGTATTCTGAAGACAATAGGATGAGAGAACACAAGTTTAAAATTTAGAAAAGATATGCTAGGCTCTAATTAAGATAATTTTAATTGTTTAACAGGGTGATTGGATTATGGAATGAGTTGCCATAGGCAGTAGGAGAGGTCAACACCCCAACACTTTACAAGAATTTAAAAAGAAAATCAATTATTTCCTTTGACAAAAAAGGAGAGTAGGTTTAACTTTTAACTTTTTGAAAAAGTGTGTGTGCAATGACAGCCTTGATGACCAAATAGTACCTTGTTGTCTGTATGTTATGTGATCATGCTGAATATTAGTTGCAACAATCATAACATCTATTTATGTGCTAATGATCAAGGAAACCATTATCATTACATGTATGTATGATACAACAAAACAAGTAAGGAAAGCAGTATCATAACTACATATAATTATGACACAACAAGTTGAATTCATTTTAATAGAAAAGGAATTATACGTACAACTAAAAAAATCCTTCTAATTGGTGTTATTTTTATTTCCTCAATCAAATACAATAAACTTGAGATTATGTATATATATATATAAACATCAGAACAATGTTTCTTGAGACCATGAAACAAACTTGCGGGTGATTTCACGTCTGATTTTCACGATACTCTCATTAAAAAATTTTCATGGATATCTTATACATGTTTAATAATAGAAAAAAAGTAGGGGAAAATGACGTTTTTTTATCAATATTTAATTTTTACATTAGAAAATAGTCCCTATAGTAACAATTGTCAAACAGGTCCCCTAGCCTATTATTTTCAAAGGCTTTCCAAAAATATAAAAATAGATTGAAATACATAGAAACAGAGGATATTTTACATTGCAATGTTTCATCACATTTCATATTATCAATACAAGGTATAGTCAGCAGGACATATCCTTATGTAGTTTGGTAGATATATCTATTTTTATTTTAACATCATGCATTGGATTATCATTCATTATAAATATAAGTTTTGTGAGCACTTACCTGCATATGGCAATTTTGTAACAAATCAGTTAATTGTCAGTATCTACTCTGAACTGTTCCCCAAAGTGTCCCTTTCAAATTTTTGGAACTGCTTCTGTTTAGTTGTTTTACATACCATCACATTTAAAACATTTTTAATCTCATGTTAGGCAGATGGAGTGATGTGGCAGTTAAGTTGTGTCCGCAGATGACTGAAAAATAACTTATAGATATTGTAAGAACATAAGCAACAGCTGGGTGTATTTATATCCTGCTGACAACATTGGAATTTTGTTTGGCACAGAACTCTTCAATTTTATAAAATAAAGGTCCAACATGTGAGGCTATTTGAAGGAAGTAAAGGTGAAGTGGCGTTGTTCTGGTCTTTCGTATGCCAAACGATTTGCAGCATTCATGGAACACAGCTGATTCAAAGTTACGACCTTGATTTGAATGCAGTTCGTATGGCATACCAAACCTGAAGAAGAAATCATTAATAGCCAAAGCTACAGTTGTAGCTTCCTGGTTTGGTACTGCATATGCCTCAGGCCACTTGGTGAAATAATCCATCACCACACAAATGTACTTGTTTTCAGCACGATTTTGGGGCAAAG